GTGTGTGTGTGTGTGTGTGTGTGTGTGTGTGTGTGTGTGTGTGTGAGTGAGAGAGAGAGTTGAGAGAGAGAGAGAGAGACCATGTGCATGGGAGCCCGAGCCTGCGCTCCAGCAGGTTGGGGGATGGATGGTGGCGGCCTTTCAGGCAAAGGAGCTTTCACTCAATTACTCTTCAAGCAGCAGGAGGGGGCGGCGGCTTCGCAACAGTTGGACAGGTTTGCACCGTGTGTAGAAAAAGCCTTCATTTCCCACTGACGGTGGTGACGGGTGGTGACAGGTGGAGCCAGCAGCAGAGCTGGAGCCCCGGGTGGGATGTGGGGTGAAGGGTCTGGTGGTGGGGGCACCCAGGGTCGTGCTGGGGCTGCAGGCCTTGGCACACCCCCCGGTTCCCCTCACTGAGGACCTGTCTTTCAGTGGGGTTGGGGGCAGGTGGCACTGAGCAGGGAGGATCTGGTGGGAGCCCAGGGAACCGTCAGGGATCTCAGAGATCTGGTGGGAGATCTGGGAGGACTTCCTGAAAGAGGCACACTGCTTCCAGAGAGCTGCAGGGCTGGTTGAGCATGGACGGGCTGTGGGGAGTGGGCCTGCTAGGTGAGGGACATCTTCCTCCCGATTTCAGAGGCTGCTCGGGAAACTGGGGCTGACGTGGCTTATAGGCAGATGGGTGGGCCTGAAGGGCATGGAGGTGCCTGGCACAGAGCTGGGCACACAGCAGGGGCACCGGGTCTCTGCTCTCTCACTCCCTCTGCCCCTGACTGTATCTGTCACCTGCGCCATTTACAGAGGTGGAAACAGAGGCCAGGAAACAGCTTGAGGCCACATGGGGTCTGAGGCGTCGTTGGGCTTCTGACCCTTTATCTTGTTGACTCCTTCCAGGGGGGCCAGGATGGGCAGGGTGTCTGGAGACTGCTGTGGCCGGGGCCCCAGCCCGCCGGCCCTGCCGCACATCCCTCATTCTCCGCCCCCTTCTCCGCAGGATGGTCGAGTACTCCTTGGACCTTCAGAACATCAACCTGTCGGCCATCCGCACCGTGCGCGTCCTGAGGCCCCTCAAAGCCATCAACCGCGTGCCCAGTGAGTCGGCCCCGCCCCGCCCTCCCTGCCTTTCCTTCACTTGGACAGGACACCAGCCCCTTCCAGGGCCAGGCCTGCGCAGGGCGCTGGGACACTGCAGCCTCTGGGCGGGCAGGCCCTGCTCCCATGGAGCGCGTGGTGGTATTTGGGCCTGAAGACGCGGGCGGGGCCGATGCCTGAGTCCCGGAAGAACTCGGGTCCGGCTTGCAGGGGGTGCTGGCTTCTCAGGGACGAGAGGTTCCTTAGCGGATTGGAGGGGACTTCGCAGGATGTCAGGGTGGGTCTGCGTGGAAAAGAAGCTGCCGAGTTTGAGGGAGGGCACTGAGGAGCATTCATGGGGGCAGCGAAAGCTCACGCTCTCCCTCGTGCTGACACAGGGCTTGAGCTCTGTCAGCCACCCACTCACCACCCGTGTACAGGGGCATCCACCTGCTCACACACCTGCCCATCTGTCGTCCACCCGTATATCCAGCCAGCCATCTATCTTTCCGTCCCCTCCTCCGTTCACCCACCCACTTAGGCATTCATCATTCATTCTCCCCCTCCTCCGTTCATTCTCCCACCCACCTACTTACCCACTCATCCGTCCACCCACTTAGTATTAAGAGAGGTTATCTATCTCAGCTCTTTGGGAGGCCAAGAGTTTGAGACCTGCCTGGACAGCGTAGTGAGACCCTGTCGCTACAAAAATATTAAAAAATTAACTGGGTAGGCCGGGCTCGGTAGCTCAGCCTGTAATCCCAGCGCTTTGGGAGGCCGAGGTGCGTGGACTGCCTGAGCCCGCGGGTTCGAGACCCGCCCGGGCAACTTGGCGAGACCTCATCTCTACGATAAATCAAAAATGAGCCGGGCGTGGTAGCGCGCGCCTGTCGTTCCAGCTCCTTGGAAGGCTGAGGCGGAAGGATCGCTAGAGCCCAGCAGGTCGAGGCTGCAGTGACCAGGAGCGGCCACTGCACTCCAGTCTGAGTGGTAGAGTGAGATTCCAACTCAAAAAAAAAAAAATTAACTGGGTATAGTGGTGCACCTCTGTAGTCCCAGCTTCTCGGGAGGCTGAGGCAGGAAGGTTGCTTGAGCTGAAAGAGAAGGGGAGAGGGAGAGAGGGAGAGAGAGAGACAGAGATAGACACAGAGACAGATTGTTTCGTCAACACAACCCCTGGCCTTGCAATCAGGAAGTGGGCTGTTCCCATTTTACAGATGAAAAACAGGGACTCGGAGACTTGAAGTTGCCTGCGCAAGGATGCACCGCCAGTGTGTAGCAAAGACCAGAGCCAGTTTGGTCCCTTATCTCTTCTGCTGCCTGTGTTAGAATGGGCTGGGGATTCAGGGGAGAGGAGGGAGCCCTGAAGCCCTGCCTGGGGCTTTTATAAGGACCCACCCACCCCTGTGGTCCAGACACTTGGCATCTGATGGCACAACAGCCTGTGTGAGGCTCAGAGAGGCTAAGTGACTTGCAGAAGGTCACACAGCAGTTCAGTGGCAGGGCAGGGCTCTGAAGAGAGGTCTGTCTGTCCTGAGCCCTGCCCTTTCCCTGGCTCTGTCTGAGCCTCTGCTTCTCTTCCCAGCCTGAGCCTCGGTTTCCCACCTACAGAAGAGGGAAGGTGGTCTCCTGGCGCCTGGTCCTCCTCCACACCCAGCAGTGTCCCCAGGCCCCCACTTCCCAGCCCTGGGAACTTGGGGCCCTGTCACCTGGTCCACGCAGCCACCCTCTCTGCGGTCACCTGCCATGAGTACCCTGTAGGGTTGGCCTGAATGGCAGAGCACAGAGGGGTCCTTAGAGTTCTTGCAAGGTCCTGGGAGGGGGCTGGGAGGCAAGGTGGGGTGAGTGGGGTGACAACCCAAGCTGTGGGGGAAGGGGAGGAATGGTATACCTTGCTACCCTTGCCCCCTCCCACTGGCTTGGGGAGACGCCCTGGGGGCAGGGAAGGGACATCGGAGAGGCCGTCCTAGAGCCAGCACTCTGTGTCCCCCTCACCCCCACCAAGGCTTCTTGAAGATCACCTAGGTCAAAACCATCTTCTCTCTGTTTAACAAATGAGGCAGCTGAGGCCCAAAGAGGGTAATGACAAGCCCAAGGTCGCACAGCGGCCAGTGTCAGGGACCAAGCTGGAGTCCGAGTTTCTCAGCAGCAACCTTCCCCACCAGTGTTTGTTTTTCTCCATACCAACCTGCCTTTGCTGGGAAATGGGCCGAAAGACGGGCTTCATTCACTGGGCACCCAGAATATGCCTGGCGGGTAGGTGATACTTCAGAAAGGTGTGTTCATGACACGCTCAGAGGCATAGGGAGGAGCTGTCCTGAGCCAGGACTACAGGGCTGTAAGTGCAGAGAAGAGCACAAGGTGGGGGGCGGGCAATGCCCTGAAGGGGTGTGCATGCAAGAGTGTGCGCATGAGGACGTGTGTGCCCTGTGAGGGCATGTAAGCCTTTGCCTCTCCATCTGCATCCTCTGTCTCCCTCTCCTGCTGTGTGATCAGCTCATTAAGCTGCTCCCGGCTGTGGAGGTCACTCCCGGTCCCAGCGCCAGCCCTCCTGGTCTCTGGAGAAGGGCAGGAATCAGCCTGTACCCAACATTCTCTGTGTTCCTGGAGGCTCCAATTACAGAGAAAGCCCAGGTGGAGTCAGAGCCTCTTCTGGGGGAGCGGGGATTGGAGGGGCTCCTTCCTGCTAATGGCCACCGCTGGGAGGCACCGCATGGCTGAGCTGGGGACCGTCAGGACTCACTGCCTGATTCCCTGTTGCAAACTGTCCGAAAAGTCTCTCGGAACGTGGAATGCAAAATATCACCAAAGCTTCCCTTTCCCCAGATCTGGAAGCCACCCAGGGTCCCACCTGGAAGGGCCCTTAAGAGAAATTCATAATTAATTTTACCAGCAGGAGCCCTAGGCCTTGGGCCCCTTGGTCCAGCCCCTGGTTTCACAGGACAGACAGCTGTGTCCTCAGGTGTCACGTCCTCTGCCCAGAACCATCAGGGGGTGAGTATCAGGGGCGGGGTCATGGGTTGTTAGAAATGCTTCCAAGTCCTCACATTTATCTTTCCGGCTCCCGCCGCGGGCATATTCTTTTCAACAGTAGCCCGCAGCTCTCAGTTTGGCCACTAGATGGCAAGCTAGAGAGCGGCGCTGGACACAGTCAAATTACTGGTTATTAATTGCGAAGCCCTGGGAAGTGGGCTGGTTGCCTGCAGTTAACATACACTGCAAACTGCAAAACCCCAGCATGATCAACTAAGAAGGCGCAACCCGGGTCAGGTAGTGATGTTCTGGTCTCAGTTCTGCTATAAGCCTGCCATGTGACCTGGGAAGTGCCTTGGCGTCTCTGGGCCTGTTTTCCCACGTGTACAAGGCGAGAGGAGGGACTGGATTGGATGTGTGGCTCTCAACTTTGTCCATGATGGGCGAGAGACCTGGAAGTCACGATGCTTTTTACAGAATCCTGTAAAATATGTCCCTCCACGCCTCCCCTGCCGGTCTTTGTTCCGGCCACTCAGCCTCTGATGGATAAAGGGAGGGAGACAGCAGAGAGGAGGCTGGGTTCTCGTCCCTTGCTGTGTGGCCTTTTGTAAATCACTACCTCTCTCTGGTTGTCGGTAAGATGAGGCTGGATTTTCTCCAAATGTGCCCTCTCCTGGCTCCAGCCTGACTGGTGACCCAGCCCACACATTCCCTAAACCACTGCAGTCCTTCCCCAAGCCTATTGGATGATCCATTTACATATGAAAAGTGCTGTTTTCTCCAGTAAGAAATTAGGGCAGTCCTTGCCCAGGCCTGAGCCAGCTGAGTCGCAGCGGCTGGCCCTCGTCTGCATCCGGCTCCCCCGACCCCAAGCTGTGGAGCGGGTGGGAGGCAGGCCCTGGGGAACTCGGGCAGCTGCTGGGATGCTGGTCCTGGCTTGGGCTCCCAGTCCTGACGGTGCTCTGGAGAAGGCCACAGCCCTGGCCGCACCACCCGCTGGAAGTCTGCTCTGCACTGTCAGACAAGGGTCTAGTCCCAGGGCCTCCCCTCGGGTGTGGACCTCTGGCAAAGACGTGCCTCTCTATGCCTCTGTCTCCCCAGCCCTAAGGTGTAGTTAATGATTCCGGTGTCCATCTGGCTTGGAAGGCTGACATGCCATTGCATGCGTGGAAACAGCGTGGCACCATGTGTGCACACATGATCTCCAGGTGCCACCGTTAGGAAGAAGGTGCTGGGTGGCAAGATTGGAGGTGGGGTGGCAGGGACGTCCTCTCGGGCTGATTTTGGAAGACACTCACCAAGCGCATCCAGGGTTGGGGAGGGTATTCCTGGAGGGTGCAGAGGTGGCGCGGAGGGGCTGTCCTGGGACTGGTGTGGCTGGCTGGGGCTGCCCTGGAGAGGCGGGAGCAGAGGCCACATCTTCTGGGGGTTTAATAAGAGTGACAAGTGGCTAAAGTTGATCACGTGTTTGTTATGAGCCTGTCATGGTGTTCTACGAGGGCTGTCGTCATCTCATCTTTGTAGCCATCCTGGGATGTTAGTGCCATCTTGATGCCCACTCTAAAGATGGGGAAACTGAGGCAGAGAGGGGTTGAGTCACCTGCCTAAGGCTGGAGGCAGAGCTAGGATTTTTATTTATTTATTTATTTTTGAGTTGGAGTCTCACTCTGTCGCCTAGACTGGAGGGCAGTGGTCGCTCCCGGCCACCGCAGCCTCGACCTGCTGGGCTCCGGCGGTCCTTCCGCCTCAGCCTTCCGAGTAGCTGGAACTACAGGCATGTGCTACCACGCCCGGCTGATTTTTTGATTTATTGTAGAAATGAGGTCTCGCTGCCCAGGCGGGTCTCGAACCCGCAGGTTCAGGCAGTCTACTCACCTCAGCCTCCCAAAGGCGCGAGATTACAGGCTGAGCCACTGAGCCTGGCTGGATTTTTATTTTTATTTTTATTTGGAGTCTCACTCTGCTGCCCAGGCTGGAGTGCGGTGGCACAATCACAGCTTATTGCAGTCTTGACCTCCTGGGCTCAGGTGAACCTTCTGCCTCAGCCT